CTGATAAGATAAGTCATGTCATGAGTAGCTGATAAGATAAGTCATGTTGATGAGTAGCTGATAAGATAAGTCATGTTGATGAGTAGCTGATAAGATAAGTCATGTAGATTAGCAGCTGATAAGATAAGTCATGTAGATTAGCAGCTGATTAGAAAGTCATGTTGATGAGTAGCTGATAAGATAAGTCATGTTGATGAGTAGTTGATACAGTTGATAAGATAAGTCATGCAGATTAGGAATAAAACAACTAATCTTAGTTGACCATCTAATAGATAAGTCATGCAGATTAGGAATAAAACAACTGACCTTAGTTGACCAGCTAATAGATAAGTCATGCAGATTAGGAATAAAACAACTGACCTTAGTTGACCAGCTAATAGATAAGTCATGCAGATTAGGAATAAAACAACTGACCTTAGTTGACCAGCTAATAGATAAGTCATGCAGATTAGGAATAAAACAACTAACCTTAGTTGACCAGCTAACAGATAAGTCATGCAGATTAGGAATACAAAAAAAATAACCTTAGTTGACCAGCTAATAGATAAGTCATGCAGATTAAGAATAAAACAACTAATCTCAGTTGACCAGCTGATAGATAAGTCATGCAGATTAAGAATACAAAAACAACTAACCTTAGATGACCAGCTGATAGATAAGTCATGCAGATTAATAATAAAACACCTAACATTAGTTGACCAGCTAATAGATAAGGCATGCAGATTAGTAATAAAACAACTGACCTTAGTTGACCAGCTGATAGATAAGTCATGCAGATTAGGAATAAAAACAACTAACCTTAGTTGACCATCTAACAGAAAAGTCATGCAGATTAGGAATAAAAAACTAACCTTAGTTGACCAGCTAATAGATAAGTCATGCAGATTAAGAATAAAACAACTAACCTCAGTTGACCAGCTGATAGATAAGTCATGCAGATTAAGAATAAAACAACTAACCTTAATTGACCAGCTGATAGATTAGTCATGCAGATTAGTAATAAAAACAACTAACCTTAGTTGACCAACTAATAGATAAGGCATGCAGATTAGTAATAAAACAACTAACCTTAGTTGACCAGTTAATAGATAAGTCATGCAGATTAGTAATAAAAACAACTAACCTTAGTTGACCAGCTGATAGATAAGTCATGAAGATTAGGAATAAAACAACTAACCTTAGTTGACCAGCTAATAGATAAGTCATGCAGATTAGGAATAAAACAACTAACCTTAGTTGACCAGCTGATAGATAAGTCATGCAGATTAGGAATAAAACAACTAACCTTAGTTGACCAGCTGATAGATTAGTCATGCAGATTAGGAATAAAACAACTAACCTTAGATGACCAGCTGATAGATAAGTCATGCAGATTAGTAATAAAACAACTAACCTTAGTTGACCAGCTGATAGATTAGTCATGCAGATTAGTAATAAAAACAACTAACCTTAGTTGACCAACTAATAGATAAGGCATGCAGATTAGTCATAAAACTCCTAATCTTAGTTGACCAGCTAATAGATAAGTCATGCAGATTTGGAATAAAACAACTGACCTTAGTTGATCAGCTGATAGATAAGTCATGAAGATTGGGAATAAAACAACTAACCTTTGTTGACCAGCTGATAGATTAGTCATGCAGATTAGTAATAAAAACAACTAACCTTAGTTAACCAACTAATAGATAAGGCATGCAGATTAGGAATAAAACAACTAACCTTAGTTGACCAGCTGATAGATTAGTCATGCAGATTAGTAATAAAAACAACTAACCTTAGTTGACCAACTAATAGATAAGTCATGCAGATTAGGAATAAAACAACTGACCTTAGTTGACCAGCTAACAGATAAGTCATGCAGATTAGGAATAAAACAACTAACCTTAGTTGACCAGCTAATAGATAAGTCATGCAGATTAAGAATAAAACAACTAACCTTGGTTGACCAGCTGATAGATAAGTCATGCAGATTAAGAATAAAACAACTAACCTTAGTTGACCAGCTGATAGATAAGTCATGCAGATTAGTAATAAAACAACTGACCTTAGTTGACCAGTTGATAGATTAGTCATGCAGATTAGTAATAAAAACAACTAACCTTAGTTGACCAACTAATAGACAAGTCATGCAGATTAAGAATAAAACAACTAACCTTGGTTGACCAGCTGATAGATAAGTCATGCAGATTAAGAATAAAACAACTAACCTTAGTTGACCAGCTGATAGATAAGTCATGCAGATTAGTAATAAAAACAACTAACCTTAGTTGACCAACTAATAGACATGTCATGCAGATTAGTAATAAAATAACTAACCTTAGTTGACCAGCTGATAGATAAGTCATGAAGATGAGAAAGAGAATCTTTATCACCAGATAATACATATCTTCCTTCTTCTATCATTTTAGGTAATATATCATCTAATTCACTAGATAGTCTTTTCATCTCACTGAAAATAAATCATTGTTTCTTTTTAATAATTTTCACACCTATTCCCTTTTTATTTTTGGAAGGTTGAAAGTTCTTAAAAACCCATAACTTATTTGCTTGCTTTTGAACTATAATAATTTTTATTTACTATATTAGATCTTAGGTCAGAAAATGATGAATCATTCACAACCTTATAAACCCCACAGAACTCTTGCAAATTGTATTCAATATTAAGGTCAAACAAGAAATTTGGCCAACTTAAATTTGATGTGTGTACAATCATTCCCCAATGCTTTAGTTATCTTGGTTGCATGTTTCAAATACTTTAATGTCCATTTCTTAAGGCACACTTACATTCTGCATGAATTTCAATTATCGGAACACATTGTGTTCACCAATCTTAGAACATGTTGATTATATAATCATATTATATCTTAAGATACAAAACAAGTACAAAACAATTACCTACCTGTGTTTTGTAAGATGAGGACAGTGTTTTATTAAACTAGTTGAACTATCTAATATATGATTAGTTAATCTTAATAAATCTGTGGTCATTTCATCAACTAACTTTCTATTTCCATTTACACACAAACTAACAAATCTTTTAGATAATCTGCTCATTTCACTGTCTGTAATTAAACAATTTCATTCAATATATTTCCATGCCATAATTTTCATTTTCATTGCAAACACACTTTCTTTCATTTACAAGTTGTAATTATTTTTTAACCATTAAAAACGGCCATATGTGCAATCATATTCCTAAAACAAATAACTTACTTTCATGCATATCATTAATCAACGAAAAAAGGATCACATCCAAATAGTCTTTGGCACACGATTTTAAGGTCAGATTCAAAGGTTTATGGAAAACAGTTAAAGTTTGCAATTGTCACAAACGTCAGTAAGTCTGTATAAAAATATAACTTGAAAAATAACAGAGTAATCTTTTAAACCATTTTGATCTATTGGATATACATTGTCACTGTTTGTAATCCCTTACAAATAAAAAAAAGTTTATACCTGTGCCTGTTTGTTGATGTTGTTCAGTATTTTCTTGTTCCGAGGAATCCTGCTGGAATGACACCTGTCTACTATCTGATTGCGGTGCCTTATCATAATAACTGTTCTCTCCATGATTTCCAGCAGACCTTGAGACTGTTGAGCTAGATTGGTCAGCTTGATCATACTGTGTTTGACAATATAAACCATCACATCTACTGTTGGATTGGTGAAGATTGGCTGGATTATTTTCAGGCACAACATCACTTGGTCTGTGTGATCTCCTACAGTTATTTGGTGGAATCTCTGCAGCTTTCATGTTATTGTAACAAGCTGAGTCTTGTGGTATGGAGTTTAGCTTATCTGGAACTTTTGTTACATCTTCTGGTCCATAAGTAGTTGGTTGGGCTCCATTTTCATAAACAATCATGTTATTGCATTTAATAGGATTTTCTTTAATATCACTGGTTACATTTGGTTTAAATGGTTCTTTTTGAGCTAAACAAAAGGAAACAACAACAATATATAAATTTTTCAGCAGTTTATATGTTTTATGTTTAGATTAAACATTATTACATTCACTACTTAATTCAGACAATAGGGAATTTTCATGATATGATTATTATTCAGACAATAGGAAATTATGATGATATGATTGTAATTCAGACAATAGGAAATTATAATGATATGATTATAATTCAGACAATAGGAAATTATGATGATATGATTGTAATTCAGACAATATGAAATTATGATGATATGATTGTAATTCAGACAATAGGAAATTATGATGATATGATTGTAATTCAGACAATAGGAAATTATAATGATATGATTGTAATTCAGACAATAGGAAATTTTGATGATATGATTGTAATTCAGACAATAGGAAACTATGATGATATGATTGTAGTTCAGACAATAGGAAATGATAATGATATGATTGTAATTCAGACATTAGGAAATTTTGATGATATGATTGTAATTCAGACAATAGGAAAATATGATGATATGATTGTAGTTCAGACAATAGGAAATTATGATGATATGGTTGTAATTCAGACAATAGGAAATTATAATGATATGGTTGTAATTCAGACAATAGGAAATTATGATGATATGATTATAATCCAGACAATAGGAAATTATAATGATATGGTTGTAATTCAGACAATAGGAAATTATGATGATATGATTATAAATCAGACAATATGAAATTATGATGATATGATTATAATTCAGACAATAGGAAATTTTGATGATATGATTATAATCCAGACAATAGGAAATTATAATGATATGATTGTAATCTGACAATAGAAAATTATAATGATATGATTGTAATTCAAACAATAGGAAATTATGATGATATGATTATAATTCAGACATTAGGAAATTATGATGATATGATTATAATTCAGACAATATGAAATTATGATGATATGATTGTAATTCAGACAATAGGAAATTATGATGATATGATTATAATTCAGACAATATGAAATCATGATTTGATTGTAATTCAGACAATAGGAAATTATGATGATATGATTGTAATTCAGACAATAGGAAATTATAATGATATGATTGTAATTCAGACAATAGGAAATTATAATGATATGATTGTAATTCAGACAATAGGAAACTATGATGATATGATTGTAATTCAGACAATAGGAAATTATGATGATATGATTGTAATTCAGACAATAGGAAATAATAATGATATGATTGTAATTCAGACAATAGGAAATTATGATGATATGATTGTAATTCAGACAATAGGAAATTATAATGATATGATTATAATTCAGACAATAGGAAATTATAATGATATGATTATAATTCAGACAATAAGAAATTATAATGATATGATTGTAATTCAGACAATAGGAAATAATAATGATATGATTGTAATTCAGACAATATGAAATTATGATGATATGATTGTAATTCAGACAATAGGAAATTATAATGATATGATTGTAATTCAGACAATAGGAAATTATGATGATATGATTATAATTCAGACAATAGGAAATTATAATGATATGATCATAATTCAGACAATATGAAATTATGATGATATGATTGTAATTCAGACAATTGGAAATTATGATGATATGATTGTAATTCAGACAATAGGAAATTATGATGATATGATTGTAATTCAGACAATAGGAAATTATGATGATATGATTGTAATTCAGACAATAGGAAATTATGATGATATGATTGTAATTCAGACAATAGGAAATTATGATGATATGATTGTAATTCAGACAAAAGGAAATTATGATGATATGATTGACTGAAATAAAAGATATTCCATTACCTACCTCTTTTCCTGCTTTTCCTGGGTTTCCTCGCATGGTCTCTATCAGGATGTAATAGTGGTAAATGATTGTCACTGGATAATCCATTCTTCATGCTACAGGCACAATCTTCCAGTATCTTAAGACGACGTATCATTGTGTCTTGTAAGGAATGTTTCGTAAAGTTATCTATTAAATTATGACCTGCTTCACTAACATCTGTTCGAGCTGAATAAAAAAAAATTAAGCCTTAGGTTTTTGTTTATGTCAAATCTTTTAGACAACTAACAAGAAATAGATATTTTCTGCCAAATTTTTTACCTACCTGCTTTAGTGGAAACTACTCACCTGTTTTTAATCTGTTTAAAAAGACTTGAAAACCATTACTAAAGACAGGGTCATTATGACTATCAATAATTCCAGTACATATATCACAGACACGTTTACTATAATTCTGTACATTATTTAGTCCATACCTAAACTGATGTTTATCATTGTGTTTGATACTATATTTACAATAGTTTATTCCATCTAATATCTTCTTTTCTATAAAATTAAAATAAATGATTGCAAAATTAAACATGTTATATATTGTAAGATTTGTAAAATGCAAACAATAGCTACCTTGTTATCGGTATTATTTATGCTGTGTCAACACTATAAATGGGTATAAGTTGATATCAATAGACAATTGCCACAAGGCTTGTCAGGTAATACACAAAAAACTTGGCATAAAAGAACTTAATACATCATGTGGTTTTCTTCTAAAATAATACTTAAATAAATGCTATTAAGAATATGAACTCTTCTAGTTGAAGTGTGGCATCAGTTGTCCTAATACGACAGTATTCAAGGGCAATGATTTTACTAATTCTGGAAAATTAGATATCAAGGTTTTCTTTAAGGAAACTGACACTCACCAACTTTTGTTTAAATCCTCTTTTCACCCTAAACATACGTTTTCAGGAGTTATAAAATCCCAAATATTACGGTTTCACTGAATTTGCACGCTTGAGGGGGACTTTGAGGAGGCATGCTCTATAGTTTTTACAGAATTACAAAAACGTGGATTTGCAAAACAATTCCTTCGAAAAATAAAAAATTCAACTCTTTGTGAAATAAAAGCCAAAGTCAGTGTTCCTTCCACCACCGACATTTCTATAAAGTCTAAACCCTGTTCCAAAACATCTTGCTTGACCTGTCCATTCTTTAATTCAACTCGTTTTTTCATCAACACCTTAAACAATGTCAAATTTCCAATAACAGAAAACCTTTCATGCAACAGCAGCAACATTATCTACCTTATTTCGTGTACAATCTGTCAAAAACAATACATTGGGGAAACTAAAAATAATTCAAGAACACGATTCAATGGCCATAGATTTGATATTAATCACAATCTCGACAAATCGGTGGCGAAACACTTCAACCAGTCGGACCACAGCATAAATAATGTCTGAGTTACCCCTATCGAACAAGACGATATCCCATCAAGAACCTACAGACTTCTTCGAGAAAATTTCTGGACAATGCAGCCAAACCATCTTAACGTCCAGGTAGATTATGAAATAATTCCTTTTGTTATACTTTTCAGTAATACAGCTTGCGTAGCCATACCAATCGTCAAAGAACTGTATAAGGAACTACATCATTTCCCTGATATATTCCAAAAAAAATTAGTTATTGCATTTAAACGTAATAAGAATTTGAATGACATTTTAGTCCACGGAAGATTAAAAGCCATAACAACGTAGAGCTTTTTATTTTTATTTTAGATTCGAATTAATAAATATTTACAGATGCTCCTTTCTATTTAATCGTTTTATATTTCTCCTTATATTTTTGATTTATAGGATGTTGGTTACCAAAATAAAAAACTACGATCTCCAGCAACCTTTTCATACTTTTTGATTGATCTGAATTTTCACCTCGGCCTGTGCTTTCCTAATTCCAATTATATATTGTTGTTACAACCACTCTCAACTACCTAAATAGTTCAAAAGCCAAAAAGGGATTGAGTATTTGAAGAGGACAAAATTCTATTATTTTGTTTTTCTTTACCAATACGTCTGATATAGTTTGTAATTAAACTTTTTAATGGAATAAAAATTTGGAACTTACCAGAAATCTGTAAGAAAACTTGTGGATCTGATATGACATCTATTATAGAGACAAGAGTAGATAACTCTAATTTCCAATTCTGTACCAGAAGTGAAAAGTTTGATTGAGCTATGGTATTTTTAGGATGTTTAACTATTGTTGTACCAGTGTTAATTATTTCTGATTGAAGTTTTCCTAGATTGGTAGTACCTCTCCTTATATCTTTAACTCCTAATAAAACACAAATATAGAGTTACTAAAAATTCACGACCGGTTCTTAAAAAAAATACCCTAAAAAGCACCAAAGGTTGGTAAATAAAGACATTAACTTACTTTTACTATTAGTAGAGCTTGCTGATACAAGTTTAGCAACTTGACATATCTTGTCACCATATTGTGAAAATTGACAAAGGTTCTCAGATAATACTCTATAGTTCTGTAAAAGAAAGTATTAAAGTACCAGTACAATTTACTTTTAAGTAAAGCTCAAAAAGCCATTAAGAAAATTCTACAATCTAGTAATTTTGAAGCTTATTAATTATTTGGCTTTGTAATAACTGTCTTTAAAAATTTTCAGAAGAAATTTCTCTAAGGGGAGTGTGTATATTTAACATAAAAAGCTTCAAAATTTCATATTTGTATCCATACATTTGTACCAATCCTAAATGATCATTATTATCTGATGAAGATATGCAAATTCATTTAACAATAATCAGAGTAATATTTTCTCTTAGCCAATACCAACCTCTTGTTGTTGGAATTTTAATAATCTATCACCAGGCAGAACTGTTTCTTTAAATGCATCAATAATCAGATGTAATAATGATACATTAACCTCTTTCTCTAAATCACATAATTCATCTAATATCATTTCACATACATCATCATAATCATATCTACAATATAGATACAATATATTAATATATTACACCTAATATCATTTCACATACATCATGATAATCATAATCTACAATATAGATACAATATATTAATATATTACACCTAATATCATTTCACAAACATCATCATAATCATAATCTACAATATAGATACAATATATTAATATATTACACCTAATATCCTTTTACATACATCATCATAATCTACAATATAGAAACAATACATTAATATATCACACCTAATATCATTTCACATACATTATCATAATTATAATCTACAATATAGATACAATATATTAATATATCACACCTAATATCATTTCACATACATCATCATAATCATAATCTACAATATAGATACAATATATTAATATATTACACCTAATATCATTTCACATACATCATGATAATCATAATCTACAATATAGATACAATATATTAATATATTACACCTAATATCATTTCACAAACATCATCATAATCATAATCTACAATATAGATACAATATATTAATATATTACACCTAAGATCCTTTTACATACATCATCATAATCTACAATATAGAAACAATACATTAATATATCACACCTAATATCATTTCACATACATTATCATAATCATAATCTACAATATACATACAATATATTAATATATCCCATCTAATATCATTTCACATACATCATCATAATCATAATCTACGCTATAGATACAATATATTAATATATTACACCAAATATCATTTTACATACATCATCATAATCATATCTATAATATAGATATAATATATTAATATATCCCATCTAATATCATTTCACTTACATCATCATAATCTACGCTATAGATACAATATATTAATATATCACACCAAATATCATTTTACATACAACATCATAATCATATCTACAATATAGATATAATATATTAATATATCACACCTAATATCATTTCACATACATTATCATAATCATAATCTACAATATAGAAACGTAATATATTAATATATCACACCTAATATCATTTCACATACATCATCATAATCATAATCTACAATATAGAAACAATATATTAATATATTACACCAAATATCATTTCATATACATCATCATAATCATATCTACAATATAGAAACAATACATTAATATATCACACCTAATATCATTTCACATACATTATCATAATCATACCTACAATATAGATACAATATATTAATATATCACACCTAATATCATTTCACATACATCATCATAATCATAATCTACAATATAGAAACAATACATTAATATATTACACCTAATATCATTTCACATACATTATCATAATCATAATCTACAATATAGATACAATATATTAATATATCACACCTAATATCATTTCACATACATCATCATAATCATATCTACAATATAGAAACAATACATTAACATATCACACCTAATATCATTTCACATACATCATCATAATCATACTCTACAATATAGATACAATATATTAATATATCACACCAAATATCATTTCACATACATCATCATAATCATAATCTACAATATAGATACAATATATCAATATATCACACCTCATATCATTTCACATACATCATCATAATCATATCTACAGTATAGATACAATATATTAATATAACACACCTAATATCATTTCACATACATCATCATAATCATAATCTGCAATATAGATACAATATATTAATATATCACACCTAATATCATTTCACATACATTATCATAATCATAATCTACAATATAGAAACAGTATATTAATATATATCACACCTAATATCATTTCACATACATCATCATAATCATATCCACAATATAGATACAATATATCAATATATCACACCTAATATCATTTCACACACATCATCATAATCATAATCTACAATATAGATACAATATATCAATATATCACACCTAATATCATTCCATATACATCATAATA